TTTTTCTTTCTGCATGTTTTTAGTTATTTAACGTGTCTCCTTGATTTTTTTGAGTTCAGATTCATAGTAGCACACATTGGTTTGCAAGAGAAAGTGGGGGATGAGGGGAGGTAGAAGGAAAGTGTGTGTGTGCGCGCACGCATGTGCTGACTTGCTCCTCTTTGCTACTAATCTTTTCCTCGACTTCTGTTGAAACTTACTAAACTTTATCATACCATAGGCACAGACATATAATACGGTTATTTCTACAAATACTCAGCTTCTTTTTCAGATTAAATAATACATTTGTTTTCTTTCTGGTAGAAAGTAGTCATGAATCTTTCAAAAGCCTTAGTTTAGAGGCAGCCATGAAAGTGTCTGCTTGTCACTTTGCACAGTTAATTATTTTCAAATAGCTAATGCCTCATTTTTTAATATGGAGGGGTATAATTCTTGAGTCCTTTACATAAAAATATTGACTGGCATACTGTCTTCAGAAGCAGCTTAATAAATTCACATTCATGAAGGAATGTCCGTGAACAGAGCAGTTGGTTTAGTTATGTAAATTTTTAGTTATGGCAGTACCATAAAAATAGATACTTCAGAGTCCTATCACACCAGGAGGTCTCAAATTATGTTCATAGAAGACCTAGATATTTATTGGAGGGAATAATTTTATATAGATAAGTTTGTGAAATGCTGAGTTAGGATTGACTACAAGTACATTTTGGTTCTCTAAAAGCCAGGGATATATAGTATAAATCCCATTTATGAAAAATAGAACAATTATTTTTGGTTGTTTGGGAAATAATGGTCTAACTCTCAGGATTTTGGTCCAGTTTCTTACAAGGTTGGTTAAGTGATTTGAGGTAGAGCTTTTTGAGAAATATCATAGGGTGGTTTTTCTTTTTTAATGATTATGTCATGATCCCATGGGGGCAAAGTGAAAATTCAAGGACCTGTCCTGTATTGACTGAAAGGACTCTCCTACTTCCATTTTGGCGCAGAATGAACTGTTAGCAGACAACCTCCCACCACCCCTTTACATTGGGTACAGCCCATATTTTTGTAAGTTTTGGTCTGCTTTAGAAAGCACTCCTGTTGAAACCTCAAATTAATTCACATGGTATAGAAGGAAGAAGTGAGAGTTTACCAGAAAATTTAGGGCAAAAATTAAACAGAATTTATCATGGAAGACACAACACAGTCCTATAGATTCGAAGATTGAGGGCCTTCCCTGGTGACGCAGTGGTTAAAGCACAGCACTATGAAGATATTGCAGCCACTGAAGCTCAAGTTTGATCCCTGGCCAATGGAGTGACCCATATGGTGCAGCAGACCTCTTCTGACCCACCTCCTGCTCCCCTCGGCAGTGTATTTCTGTCGATCTGCCTATTGTGTTCCCCAGTCTGTCTCTGGTGAATCCTCTCACCCTCTACACCTCTGGCCTGTCTCTCATTTATGTATATATAAATAAATAAATCTTAAAAAGAAAATAAAAAGATTAGTGTGAAAATTTCTCTCAATCAGTGGGTTGTCTTTTTTTTTTTTTTTTTAAGATTTATTTATTCGTACAGAACTGGGGTACAGGCCAGAGATGCGGTGGATGAGAGGATTCACCAGAGACAAGAGTGGGGAGCAGAACAGGCAGATCCACGAAGTACACTGCTGAGGGGAGCAGCGGGTGGGTCAGGAGAGGTCTGCCGCGCCATGTGGATCACCTCTGGGGCAGGCGGGAATTGAATGCCTGCGGAAGTGACTTTAGCTTCTTTGTACTGTGCTTCAACCCACTGCGCCACCAGGGAGGGCCCGGGTTGTCAGTTTTATGTAAAGTCTCTTTTGCTGTATAGAACCTCTTCAATTTGATGTAGTCGCAGCTATTTATTCTTACTTTCATCATCCTTGCTTTGGGTGATGTATCTTTAAAGATGTTACTGAGGTGTATGTTGTATAGTGTTCCACCAATATTTTCTTTTATATATTTCAGGTCTTATGTCTCGGTCTTTAATCCATGTTGAGTTGGTTTTGGTGTATGGTCCAAAGTAATCTAGCTTCATTTTTTTACACATAGCGGCCCAGCTTTCCCAGCACTATTTGTTGTTCCATTGCATAATCTTTGCTCCTTTGTCAAAGACTAGCTGTCTTTATATCTGGGTTTTCTGTTTGATTCCATTGGTCTGTGTGTGTGTTCTTGTTCTAGTACCATGCAGTTTTAGTTATGACTTTGTAGTATAGCTTGAAGTCTGGAAGTGTAATACCTCCATTCCCTTCTTAATTAAAAGAGCCTCGGCTATTCAAGGTTTTTTTGTGGCTCCATATGAATTTCATCAGTATTTATTCTATTTCTTTGAAAAATGTCATTAAAAGTTTTATAGGAATAACATTGAACCTATAAATTGCTTTTGGCACAATGGCTATTTTAATGATATTAATTCTTCCAATCTATGAGCAGGGAATCTCTTTCCATTTCTTTTTGTCTTCTCAATGTTTTATTTTCTTTGTAGAGCTGCTTCAGCTCTTTTTTAGATTTATTCCCAAGTGTTTGATCTTTTTTGTTTCAATTATAAAGGGAATGGTTTTCTTGATTTCTTATTCTTCAGAGTGATTGTGTCTAGGAAGGTCATTGAGTTTTGTGTGTTGATTTTGCATACTGCTACTTTACTAAACTGGTTTATTTTGACAAGTTTTCTGTGGAGTTTTTGGAATTCTCTATGTTATCATGTCATCTGCAAACAGTGATAGTTTTACTTCTTTCCCCATTTCGATTCCTTGTATGCATTTTTTCTTGTCTTACTGCTCTGGCTGGGAAGGACTGATCACAAAGATACACAAAGAGCTGATGAAACTCAACAAATAAAAGGGAATAACCCCATCAAAAAATGGGTAGAAGAGCTAAAAAGACACTTCTCTAAAGAGGAAATGCAGAGGGCCAACAAGCATATGAAAAAATGTTCAACATCACGTGTAATAAGGGAGATGCAAATTAAAACCACAATGAGATACCACCTCACCCCAAAAAGAATGGCGCATCTTCAAACAACTAGCAACAACAAATGTTGGCGATGATGTGGAGAAAAAGGAACTCTCCTGCACTGTTGGTAGGAATGCAAACTAGTACAACCACTATGGAAAACTGCTTGGAGGTTTCTCAAACTGCTAAAAATCGAGCTTCCATATGACCCAGCATTCCCACTCCTAGGTATCTACCCAAAAGACACAAAAACACTGATTCAAAAAGATATCTGCACTCCCATGTTTATTGTTGCTTTATTTACAATAAGAAAGACATAGAATCAACCCAAATGCCCAAAATGACTTTTTAATGACTAGATTAAAAAGATGTGGTAAATATATACAGTGGAATATTACTCAGCAATCAAAAAAGTTAACCACCTGCCTTTTGCAGCAACATGGATGGAGCTGGAAGGGATCATACTTAGTGAAATAACCCAGAAAGAAAAAAAAATAAAATTGGATGGTTTCACTCGCAGCAGGAGTATAAAGGTGGGGGTAAGGGGAAATAATAATGAACAACTATATTCCAGAGACATTTTATGGGGTGGAGTCAGGAATGGGATCAAAAACTGTGGGGGGAGGGAAGTCCACTTGACTATGGTGATGGCATACAGGTGATTTGGTGATGGGAAGCCCATGGGGATTACAACTGAGATGGGAAAAGGCACAAAATGATGTAAAAATAAAATTTTATTTAAAGAAAAAAAAAGGAACATAAATGTTGGTGAAGGTGTGCAGAAAAAGGAACTCTCCTACACTGCTGGTGGGAATGCAAACTGGTCCAACCACTATGGAAATTTATGTGGATTTTCCACTGCTAAAAATGGAACTTCATATGATCCAGCAAATCCACTCCTAGGTATTTACCTAAAGGACACAAAAACAATAATTCCAAAGGACACCTGCACCCCTATGTTTATTTCTGCCCTATTTACAATAGGGAAGGTGCAGAGTCAACCCAAATGCCCAAAAATAGATGATTGGATCGAGAAAAAGTGGCATATATACACAATGGAATATTACTCAGCAGTCAAAAATAAACTCATGCCATTTGCAGCAACATGGATGGAACTGGAAAAGATCATGCTTATTAGTGAAATAAGCCAGAAAGAAAAAGAGTATGGGATGGTTTCACTCATAGCAGGAGTATAAGGGATCAGGGGAAAACAAACAAATAATATATATATAAATTGTAACAACGTAAAAAAGAACAACTAACAACTGTAAACCAGAGACATTCTATGGGGGAGGAGAGGGAAACAGGAGTGGAACTGGGGTGGGAAGAGCACATGGGACTATGGTGATGGCACATGGGTGAAATGGTGGTGGGAAGTCCACCAGGATTATAACCAAGATGAAAAAATATACAAAGTGAAGGATAATGTAAAAAAAAAAATGTATTTATAAAAAAACAATTAGAACATTGAAGTTTTATGCAATCCCCAAATAAAGCACAGCTAACTAAATGAGTTCATTTTCCCCAAATTAAGCACAGCTAACTAAATGAATTCATTTGTTGAATGGAGTTAAAATTAGCCATTTGATTTTTCTAAAGGACATTTGCCAAAAACAACTTACTTGGTTTTGGCATATTTTATATATTAGCTGGTATTTGACAGTAATTGGTCACAGTATGACTTCCTTTTTGAGACTGTACCTGAAATGTGCTAGTAATAGCAGCATAAAGGAGGATGACTGTATTTTTTGATTGATAAGTAGGAAGGGGAAGACACATATGATTCATCTAAAAATGGTATCTAGGTGCAATTCAGAGAAAAATTAAGACATGATTTGGTTTTATTCTACAAGCATAGATTCTTTAATTTTACAATTTCCCTCTAGAGTTTTTTTGTTACCATTACTAAAATTTTCTTGTTATCTTACTAAAAACTCTTCCCAGAACTGTAAATAATAATTAAAAATTGATGTGTAGCTATTTAAAAAAATCATGACTTTTTCAACTCAATTATCAAACCTTTTCTTTCTTTACAGACTTAGCTTTGGAGTCAAACCCTTCTGACCATCCAAGGGCAAGCACAATTTTCCTGAGCAAGTCTCAAACTGATGGTAAGACTTTTTTTTGTCACCCTGAGAAAAAGAATGAAAACTTTTGTGTACTATAGAAAGTATTCAGAAAAATTCATACATTGGCTTAAGTGTTGCACTTTGTTGTGTATTCACTTGTTTTATTTAATTTACTGTATGGTGAAATACTTTCCTTTTAGTTACTGCTTTAGTGAAGAGAACAGTCTTTTATCTGTTTACACATTTTGCCACCTCTTTATCAATGCAGCCAGTTGGCCACATGATTTAGAAGTGGTCTATTTCTACATACTGCTTTGTCCTTTTCCCCTTGTTCCAAAGCGCTTTCGTCTGGTTTTAAAGACAAATGGTAGGATTTAGATTGACAGTTTTCATTTGAACAAATCAAAAAAGTTAGTTAATATATGGGGATTGAATCAATAGTTTTTGCCCCATTTTACACAATGATTGGTCACATGAGCCCAATCTCAAGTCCAGGCTTACGATACTCAGCTCTTTAGGCTGTTTAAATTTTTCTCATTCTAATGTAATGCTGTGCTAGGACATAGCAAAACCAACCTGCCTATTGGATTCCCAGAAGGGAGCCTCAGCCTGTGAAACTGGTGTAACTGGAAACCTCTCTCTGCTTGCTTTAGGGTGAGAATCCAGAACTATGGGCTTTTTAATTCTCCTTGCCTACTTAACTTTCCTTAACAGTTTGTTTTATCTAGTTATATGTTTAAAGAAAGTATACATATTACCAGTTTTTCAATTAAACAGCAAACATGCAAAAAGGGTTCCATAAAATTTGAAGAAATGCAACACAATTTTAAAATATGGGGGTCTCTAGCCTGTATTTTCACAGTGTTAGTATACTTTGCCTATTTTGAGCAGATCCGTTTTGGATCTGCTGGTCTCTCATGTGTAGAGTATGGACACAGTAACAAAAAAACCGCCCCAGCCCCTTCTCTGTCAGTCATAAATAATGTGTGCCTCCGCTGCCTGCCCTGAGCTGGGGTGGGAGTGGAGGAGAAGAGATGGGGCATGTGGGAAAGTGTATTGCCCAAACTGCCTCCAGAGCTCTCAGTCCTCTGACCTTTGTTAAAGCAAGATGCTGTTGTATGTTGTAGGTACATTCAGTTAGGCTCGCACACTCACTTTTAATATTGAGATAGGTTACTTGCCCGTTGTTTAAAGACCTATTTATTATTTTAGTAAGACTTTTTAGTTGACTTTGTGAGTCAGGATGCTTCCAGAGCTACTGATGAACCTAGAGATTAGTTTTTGGCCAGAAACTGGCTCTTAGAGCTGTCACCTGTTAGATCCTGTTAATTAAAGTAAGTGATGTATAAATGCAGAACTAGAAAATACTACTGAGCAGCACTTCAGATAAAGAAGTAAATTTTACTGCTAGCTACAATTTTTACCTAGCCTAATTTGCTTTGCTCTTTTCTTTTGTACATGGAGATCTTTCATTTATATGTAATATAAAATATCTGCTAGTTCAGAATATAAAAATTTTAATTAAAAATTTTAATTGAGGTAACATGGTTTACAACTTTATACCTTGACACATGTATGTGCCACACACTGTGTCTACCACTAACAGTCTAGTTACCATCTACCACCATCGGTCAACTACCTTCATCAGTTTCTTCTGCCTCCACCTCACCCCCTGTGGTAACCATTATTCTGTTAGACTCAAAGGGTTTGTTTTTGTTTTAAAACAGCTTTTTTCACTTTGAGGTTCATCTTGCAAGGTGATTTAAGTTATAAATTTTGTTGGAAATTACTTTAAAACTAGAATGGAATTTCATCTTATTTTGTATATTAATAATCCTTCGGATAACTAGCAACTACTTTTTCTTTCCCTATGGCATTTGTATCAGAATTGATCAGTTAATTTTTTTTATTCTTAGTGCGAGAAAAGAGGAAGAGCAACCATTTAAATCATGTAAGTAAACAGTTGAAAAGTTAAGAAATTGACAGTTTGAATTCAAAGTATGTCTGCCATGATTCCTAAAAAGTGTAATGGACCCAACACAGTTAGCCTGGGCCTTTTTTTGTAGTTTTTAAAATCTCTTCTGATTTTCCTAGTTATCAAATGTATTTAAAAAATCTTTGACTTAGTAGTGCTCATTCTTTGAGGATTCTGACATTTAAATTTAGTTGGTTGTGATACAAAGTTCTGCCTTATATTTTTTTGCCTCAGTTTTTTAATCTTATTTTTACCCCAGGTAACAAAGTAGAATGTATTACTTTTTAGCACTATCTATTGACATCTCTTATAGCAAATGAAGACTCAGGTCCTCACTTCATCGTGACTTTATTGGTCCCTCAACATACATTACGGTTTTTACTAAATGAGAATCCATGTTTGTTGCTATGACCGTGCAGATACTGCTGACTGCAGAGCTTTGTCATTCTGTCTGTGTCTCCTTGTTTGTCCTTCATTCTTTTTCCTAAATATTTTTGAAATCTGAGTACTTTTGCACTTTTCCAGGATAATCCAGTTCTCCTTTTTCCTAGCCAGCATCTCTCATAGCTAAATGCAGTAAGTAGCCCCTGACTGGTCTCCCTACACTCCCTTTGTTGTTGTTGTTGTTGTTTAATTAATCTCACTGTTGACTAGATTCACTGTTTTCTAACAGCTACCTCCCCCCTCACTTGAATTGTCACATGCCTATCAGAAGTATTTTCCATCTAATTAAATACATCTCTCTTCCATTTTTTTCCCTTGGTGAAAACCTTCCCCATCCTTTTTGTCATCCTACTCCAGTAAAGGCTGGGTTTTCCCTCAGCCTGCTTGTATCCGTTTTCCTGGGGTATCTCTAAAGTCATCTTGGATCTTACCTAACTGCTCTCAAGTGTTGGATCCCTTATGTCCTAGTTTCTTTTTCCCTCTCTTTTGGTATACTCTCATGTTTTTATTGGAGCACATTTTCCTAGGAAAAGATACATGGACAAGACATTCCTAGAGATCAGACCTGTCTGAGGCTCTTATTTGATAACGTATAGAATTCTAGGTTGAAATTAATTTTAGAGACACTTTATTGACTTCTTATTTACTGCGTTCTTAAATATATTGATGTTGTATAATGTACTGTACATAATGACTTATCATACCCCTTCCTCGTTATCCCTTCATTCTCTGCAAGCTTTTAGTACCTTTAATCCTTGAGATTCTGCAATTTCATATGATTTGGTATGGACCTTTTTGATTCAGTTGAACTTCAAGTCTGCAGACTGTGAGTGGAATTTTCTGTTCTTTGGTATTTTCTCTATTCCTTTTTCTTGGGAGGGAGGAGGTGTGGTTTTCCTATTATTCAGATGTTGGGCCTTTAAGGCCAGTACTTCTGCATGGATCTCTTAATTTCCCTCTTCCCACTCCTTTTTCCACTTTGTCTTTTCAAGGCCTCTTGAGTACTTTGTTTTTCTTATTTTTAAAGATTTATTTATTTATTCATACAGAACTGGGGTACAGGCCGGAGGCGCAGGTGCAGTGAGAGGCTTCACCATAGACAGAGTGGGGAGCAGGACAGGCAGATGGATGAATTACACTGCTGAGGGGAGCAGCAGGCGGGTCAGGAGAGGTCTGCCACGCCATGTGGGTCACCTCCGGGGGGGGGAATTGAACTCATGTTGATTGGCTTTAGCTTCTTTGTGCTGTGTTTTAACCCTCTGCGCCACCAGGGAGGGCCCTGTTTTTCTTATTGTTAAGTTAAAGAATTCTCTTCGCTTTCAATGAATAGGCAAAGAGTCTACAAAAGAATTTCAGGAGGGAAAGAGCCCATGTGGTTCCCGTTCCTCTCTTTTACTTTGTCCTCTAACATGTCTGGGCTCAGCCCTGCTTTATCTGTCTAGGGGCCCTCTAGACTGTTTGCTCCCCAAGTTGCTGAGGTCTTGGCATCAGGTCAGTGATTACTAGCAGGCCTGTAGTGTAGAAGAAAAGGGAAAACAAGAGTCCTTTATGTTCTGTTATTTTTAAAATAGTATTTGGTTCTTTCATTAATGCAATTCTTTGTCTTTCTGAGGTTGTTCAGAGTTTTTTTAAAGTTTCATTTGCTCCTGAATTTGATCACTTTTGAGCTTTGTTGATGGAAATCCCTCCCAAAAGTATGTTGGTCCCTGGCAGTGTCTTCAAATATGTCCACTGTGAGTGAACAGAACTTGTTAGCGGGTGGGCCTCCATGCAGTTATTGGGGGGCAGTGTGTGGAGGGTCATCAGGCCTCTGAATTCTGAGCCTGCTTTAGGTTCTTTAAGATGTACTGACTTTGCTGTTCCTGTCCCAGTCAAATTCTTAGGCACCAGTGTATGCCCCCTCTCTTTTGTCATGTAACTTATCATTATTTTATCTGATCTTTTCATCTTTCAAGCCATTAAAAATCATCTGCTTATCTTGTTGTGTGTTCAACCTTTTTAAAATGCCTTTAATTCTAATGAGAGGATACTCTTTGAAAGGAGAATGAGAAGAAATAGATTTGTGGTCATTACACCATGTTTAACTCAAACACAGAACCTATATTTAAGTCTAAGTTTAAAATTTTAATTCAATATAAGTAATGACATTCAGAGAGTACTTTTTTGGTTATACTTGTAATTGACATATTACAAGTAAGGCCTTGATTAAGAATTATATTCAGATCATGAAGACTACTACATCCTGTTAATATGCAACAGATACAGAATAGTTTTCTTAAGTACATAAAATATTAGAGACTTTTAAAGTTATTATGTCAAACTTACCCAAAACTTGATTTGTGGAAAAGGGGAAAGGAAGAATGACCTGCAGGATTACTTTTTAAAAGGTTAAAGTCAGAGACAGTAGGCATACTGGGATAAGTTAGTGGATGGGAGTAGGATTTGACAAGGACTTGATCTTTGATGGTCATGTTTGGATTGTGACTTCTTAGACTTACGGGTGTGAATACCTCACATCCTTTGCCATGGAACCTTAAGACTGCTGAGTGAGCCAAACTCTTTGTAAATGTCCCTCTTTGCTGTCATTAGTGCTGAATGAATGAAGACAAATCATATTCTTTGTCCCAGTCTACTGAAATAATACTGTGAACACTACATGTCAACAGTATTTCTTGCTTTTTTTTTTTTTTACATTTTATGTAGTCAGTATAATTTACTGAGTCAGCAGTGATAAGGCTTTTTAGCCATAGGGGACAATTCTCTTAAATTTTTAAGCAAGTTCGCTCATGGTTAATACAGAGGCCTCATCTGTCAGCCTCGAACACTGGACACCTAAAGTATGAACAGTTGGGAATAGGCCTGGACTGACGGGAAAACGAGTGTGTAGTGCTGCTGAGGTCAGATCTATAGTGGACTGTAAATCGCTCATTCACTAAGTGAGCCCCTCTGTAGCCACAAGACCGCATCTGATTAAAAGTTTAAATGTTTTAGCATTAATAATTTCAAGGAAAAACTAGTATACATTCACAGTAGAACAAATTTAGAAGAAAATAGGAGCAAATATCACTTAAAAATTTTATCACCTTGTCTATTTTGGTGCATTTCCTTCCTTTTTTTTAATTCTCTCCTTATATAAGTTTTTGGATATAACTTATCCAATAGGATGAAATAGTTCACCCTATTACCCCCTAAAAGTAATTAAGAGATAACCTTCATTTAGAATAAAAGTATTTTAATGAATGTTTCATTGTTGTTTTGTTTGTTTTTGTATAAATTCTGAATGTAAATTGCAGTAACTGAATTGCTTAAGGAACATATCAGAGGTTTAGATAGTTAAGACATTTCTAGCTTGATGGAGAATTTAGTCTACCAAATAGTGGTACTATTAAAATATATAATACCTGGAACTTTTTGTTAATAAGGAATAAGTAATTTGTAGTAAAACATCTGAAATATAATGGCTTTATATTCCATATGGGTGGTATTGGTTTATTGGCTACAGGCTGTGTATTTTGAAAAGTATAAACCAGACCTTCTCCCTGCCCCATCTTTTTATATGATGAGAGGGTATTGTTAGCATGTTGAAAATTATATTAACAGGAGAAGGAAGGCGCATCTGAATTAGTTTTATTTTAAAACAGCCCATTAAAACAAGCATTAAAATTGCTGGTATTTGGTGGTATTAAAGAATGTTGCTGTTACTTTCAACTATTTGCAGTGACTGGAATGTGTTTATTAGCCTTCACTATTAGAAAGGAATTGTCCTACCATAGGTTAGGCTGTCATCTGACTACTGCTACATTGTTGGCCTCTTCACAAATAAATGGATACTTCTAAAGTGTTTTAAAGATAGTTTATTCTCTAGAAGGCCTCAAAGTTCATTATCACCTCTCCAATACCACTTACTAAATTCTCACTAAATTGTATCTAGTATGTTTTACCTTCCAGTTGTAATTGATTTTAAATAATTTGTCAGAACACTTGTTGAACTTACTTGTCTCCAATTTTATGCTCGGCATCTGGAGTTAGGAGGAGTAAAAGTTCTCCCTTTTCGGAGAAACTTTCTTGAGGGTGGGGGTGGTGCTGCTGTTAACCCCTCCAGCAGTTTAATATCATGTAACAAGAGGTCATTGACCTGTGAGTAGAGAAAGGAAGAAGCTTTGTGGTGTGGCAGCTGGCACAGGTCTCTTGTAGATAGATGGACTCAGGCTTGCTGGGTCAGAAAAGGGAAGGCCTTGTGGCCAAGGAGGTGGGAGGTTGGAAAGTGTCCTGATGAATTCACAACTAGAATTACTCAGTTGATTTGAATAGAAAGTATTCGCTGAGGTTCTCATTTGTCTAATGGTAGTGATATTTAAACATGAAATGAAAGCTGAATTCTCAGTATCTTACCTGTTCTACATGTGAGAGTGATACTTTTTTTATCCTTCAGATGAGGAAATTGAGGCGAGTTGCTAGTCCCCTCCTCTTGTTAGTTACATGGCAGTCTGACTCACACAGCCTCTGACTTGAAGCAGTTGTTTCCTCACTTGTCTCCTAAACTAATCTTTATCACTGGCTTTCATTTCCTGCAGTAAAATGTTCTTGCATCAATATTATACAAACAGCATTATTTTTATTGTTCTAATTAAAGAGTAGAAAATGTCAGCTGCTTTTCCTTGCTTAAGGGAAAAAAAACCCCCACTGAAATCTTACATTATTTTAAGGGGAATGTACAGTAGGTACTGGCCAGGTTTGATTGTAGGTACTACATCAAACGCAGCATTTTGAGCACCAATTTTTCGAATCTCCTTTGTGGCAGTTAGCGTTCCATAGAGCTGCACATGTTACCACCACACTCAAGCAGTTCATGAAGTGTACGAAAAATCTTAATGCTTGGTTGTTTGACATTTTAACCAAGGGAAAAACCACACTTTATAGGTTTAACTTACCGTGACATTTTCTTCTATTTCCCCCCTTCAGGTATCTCCAGGGCAGCTTACTAAAAAGTATAGCTCATGCTCAACCATATTTCTAGATGACAGCACAGTCAGCCAGCCTAACCTTAGAGCCACAATAAAATGGTGAGTACAAGTACACCTAGGCTGCCGAGGCTGAGACAGACCCCTTACGCTAACGCACCTAGCCACACTTGTCCTTTATCAGTCGTCTGCCCTCTTTGGTGAGTAGGCTAAGAAACTGGTGTCAACTATATGTAGATTTCAGAAACCTAAATACGAATCTTTAGTTTCTAATTTCATCTTACAACAGCATGTGGTAAAAGGGAAAGCCAGTTAGCAAGTGAGAAAACCCTGAGAAAAAGTATACATCTGTACCTGATACATTTCTGTTAAGAGGTTGTTGTACATAATGAGGAGAGGTACTTTTTAGTGAATGTTTTTAGATTAAAAGATTGTATTTATTTTATAAACCTAAAATACCATGTTCTGTTTTGGAAGCTACTCTTAGAAGACAGAACAGCTTGTCCCCTACTGGCACCAGAGTGTATCTGCATTTAAATTCAGTTAGATTTTGCCAGGTTTTCTCTGTCACTATTCCTGTTCCCCCTCCCCCCCTTTAATTCTGTATGAAATTCACTTCTCCTTCCTATGTGTGGGGGGATATATTAAACCAGTTTTAAAGAAAAAACTCTCAAGCCCAACTTACTTGTGAGTAAAATTTATTCAACTGAGGTTTTAATTTCATATGTTTAATTTTGTATGTGTATATAGAGGTATAGATATATCTCTAAATCATCATCATCAATCTATAAGAAGATCAGCAGAGAACAGAGAGATGATTTGGAAATTTAACTGGTCAGTTTTATGCTTTAAGCAAACATGAATGCTGTCGTGATGCTAAAAACTACTGTTAATTTCTGGGAGCATCTCCTTGTTCACAATTGGAGAGGGGGTAAAAACAAAATGCAGAGCTCCCTGACTCCATTGAGTTGTCTAAGGAGATTTTTTTAAAAAGTAACATTGCATGATAACATGCTTGCTCAGGTGTTCATTGTTGAGAATGAGCCGTGTCTGTGCTACTAAAGTGGAGTGCTAACCTCCCCACATGTTTTCCTGGGACATGGTTGTTGATGTACCAGAACAGAGTTTGAGAACTGCTACTTGAAAATATTAATACCCATAATCTCTAAATTTTTTGTCTTAAAGCAGTTTATGAACTTAATTTTGTTTCTAGTTTGTCAACCTTTTGGGCTAATTAAATGTGACTAACTTCTCCTTTAATTAAAAACAGGTCCACAGTCAATATATTGTTTATCTCAGGTGTAACAGTAATTCAGATAAAATTATTTCAGAATCTCAACTCTCTAAAGTCCTGACCTTTGGCACCTGTTGAGTAATCACTGACTTTTAATTCAATCAAGGGCATAAATTCTTGGGTAAAAACTCCCTCTGTTCTGGCTAGTGTCTTTTGAATTGGAAATATTCTGATGTTTTCAGTAGATAATTCAAAAGTAGTTTTAAAATTAGCCTTGCTCAGACATGCTTCTCTCCCTACCCCCAACTTAAGTCTAATTTTTGGAAATACAGTTTCAATTTGCTTTAACTTTTAAATATGTTCATTGAACATATTATTAATAAAAGCTTACTAAGAAAATAGAGCAAATTGGCTTTTAGGAATAGCTTTGAAACATATTTATCATGGGGTAGTAGAGCGTTTTCAATAGAGTAGGGGTGATGACCCTAGTTAGAATTAATTTTGTGCAACTTTTCTCAACATATAGTCCAGATGCATGCTTTTCATCGCCTCCCTCTTCTTTCCCCACATTCTCTCACAAGCTATTTGACAAGCCAAAGAAGCATGTCAGGATAAAAACATCTGGAATGTTTGTGATACTAACCCTAACTCATTCACTCCCAAATGTAGCACATAGCAGTCACATGTGGAGCTTTTAAAAACAATCCTGCTCTCCCAGTCAGATCCAGTGCCAGTAAGTCAGAACATCTGGAGAGGAAGAAAGGCAGTTTTTAAAGCTCCTATAGGTGATCCTAGCTTGCTGCCAAGCTTGGAAATCTCTGCTTGATGGAATGTAGGAGAAAGAGAACTTCTACTTATTGATGGGACCTTTGGCAATTTAGTTTTAAGCCTTGGTTCCCTTATTTGTAAAATGGGTTGTTGAATTAAATGTCCCCTAAGGGTCAGAGATTCTTTATAGCATATTGTCTTTCAATTCTGTGATTTTTAGATCTACTTGAAGATTGAAACTATTTTAAGCACTATAGAAGTATCCATCTTTGAAACTAATAATGTTACAGGTCTTTATAAATGCTAATATTCTATACACCTACTTACAAAATTCAGATTTGCCTTCCCTCAACTATTTTGAGCTTCATTTTGGACATTAAGGGCAAAGGGAAACATGTAACTTACCAAGAGAACCCTTTGTTTTCTGGGACACAGCATCTGCAGATGACTTAGGAATACAGTAATGGGAAGAGTGCCTGCAGACTTAAATGTCTGTTCATTAATATTTCAACTGATTTGAAGATAGCTGTCACTGTTCTACTGTGTGGTCTTAAACTGCATTGTTAGCACTAACTACTTCAGGATAGCTAGACCTAACATTGATTTACTATATTTGTTATTACATTTTCTATTAATCATATGAAAGTAATTTTAAGTCCTTGCATTACTTTTAGGAAAATAGTGATAAATGGATGGTAGCTGGATAATGAAATACAGAGTCAAACTTTCTTTTTAAAAAAAAAAAAAGCAAAAACCTGCTCTATGGTTTAAATTTAAGAATTTATACAAATGGATATATCTAGTACAGGATGTGAAAGGGTCTATGGGTGGAGGAGCAGATGATAAGGGAAATAAATAATAATTTGTGTATTGTATTTAACTGAGACTTGTCTCTTAATAACCTATTACTTGGCATTTTGGTTCTCCTATTTTTGTCAAAAGCCAAAAAATATAAAACGGGCAAGTGCCCATATGGACTTTGCTGAATTAGAGGATTTGGAGGCTACTGGGAGGCTGGGAAGGTCTTTATCCTCCAAACCCCCTTTAAAACAAATCTCTTTGGACCTAACATAAAATCAACTTGTCATATTTTTTTTTTCCCTCCACAGTGTGACCTTAGCAATATATTACCACATAAAGAACAGGTGAGCATTTTAAAAATTTGTCTTGTTCTTTCAGCTAAGTAACTTACAATATATGAACCTTAGTATTAGGTAGTAACTGTGGACATTATTGGAATATGTTGTGTAGGGCTTTATTATGTAAAAGTGAATCATATGCTTTGTCTTAGCATTATTCTAATAATTGTCTAAATTATTGAGAATCCCAAATAGTGCATTTATGTGGGTTGGGTTATATTGACATTTTCTATGTTAAAATTGAGAATTTAAAAATTATGTTAGGACAGAATTTTCATAGCACTATTGAAATTTTCAGTCAAGTAATTCTTTGTTGCAGGGGTTTGTTCTGTGCATTATAGAATGTTTAGCAGCTTCCCTGCCTTCTTATCACTCAAAGCCAGTAACACCTCTCCCTGTCTACATCTGTGACAACCAAAAATATCTCCACCATAACCTAATGTCCCCTGGAGGACAAATCACTCCTGATTGGGCTTCATGATGTTAAGTAATATTTTTTATAAGAATAACTTTCTCACAACAAAAATGTTGACTAAATGTGTGTTATTGATTAATGATTTTGCAAAGCTCTTTAGTGTGGGACTTTATAGAAAACAATTGATTGTCCATATCTACTCTATTGTCAGTCATTTACAATCCCTTCAGGCATTTCTTTTGAACAAACAATATGAAAACCCAACCTCAAACCTTCAGGAATTTTTGATACTGTACCAAAAGTTCACATGTGCTAGTTTCTTTAGTTGCAAAAGAGTTTCAAATTATATCGGTGACCGGGTGGGAAGTACCTGTTAATACCCGTTGATCTGTTTTGCATGGTGAATGGCTGTTTAACCTGCACATGATTTTTACATTATTATGCATTCTCATTTGTAAAGTATTGGTTCGCCTTTCTTGTGTCAGAAACTTAGTTTTATTGATATCACCACCGGTCTTACCAGAAGTGTTACAGAATGGATAAACTATCACACTGTCATTGTAGTTTGTCCAATTCTGAGTGTAAGCTTCATTGCTTGAATTTTATCGTTGGCAACAAACAAGTCATTTTCCTTGAACATGGCCTCACTTTGTTCATCACTTGTATTTTGAAATAAAATGTCTGGAAACAGTGACTTGACTTTGCTCACAAATAAATCACCAATGTTTCTCCTTAACACACTCATCCTTTGAGTATGCAGAGTGCTTACTCTTTCTACTTAATGGAATTTTGAAAAGATTCAAGGTTTAATAACACTTAATTTGTATTGCTTTATCAGAGGCATCTTAAGTAAACCAGGAATATTTCTTTAAATTGTAAGTGATAGTCAAGAATAGAATAATTTAGTAGTTTGATACTGTCTTGGTTCATGCTCAGAAACCGGCAGTTTTACTTGAGTTGCTTTTAAATAATCTTTGAAGCAGGTGATGTCTTGGCATTCTTATAAGAAGTTTTGATCTCATGGGCCTTCTGAAAAGAGCTTAGGGAAGCCCCAGGGGCTTGCAAACCATATTTGCAAACCAGTTTCTTTAAGAGCAAAATGTATTAGTGTGGGGAACTTTTACATAAAAAGATAATTATGTTTTAACTCAAACTATTTAAAAGAGATACATACAAAATAAGAGTATAATACAGAGAACCAAAGAGGATAAAAAAATGGGAAAAGTGTTGCTTATTCATTAAAGTTCTAAAGATGTTTTGCTGACCATTACTGCCTTATAAGATATTTTGTATTCTAGTGCGAGGTAAGGAGTGGAAAATATATCTGGTTCATTAGCATCGCCTGTTAGGGAGGGAGGGTCGGTGCTTATAAAGGAATAACTCTGGCTGGTCATTGTAGAAAAGATTTCATAGAACTTTATGTACAGAGTAAAAAGAGAGATCAGGAGATCGTCATAAAGTCAGAGAATACAGGCAAAGCATTTGTAAAACTGCTTTGTTGAAGGTTAAGCTTCTCCCTCCACCCACCCCTGCAGCTTCCAACATATGCTTTGCTAAGATACTAGTTCCTGAATTAATTTTTTAAATGCACATTCTTGTTTTACAGAGATGCAAATAGATCCTTGGATATTTTTGATGAGAGATCACATCCACTCACAGTAAGTGTCACTTTTATTGAAACTGAAATTTTCTCATACAGTTGTATTTCTTGCTGATTTGTTTTGAAATAATTACTAGAAGAAAATCACTGCCTCTAAGTTTGAAATAAAAAGTCATCTCTTAAGTTTCCTTCCTTACCCATATTGTATCTGCCCATTTACGAAAGGCCTGTGGTATTAGGGATATGACAGCTGAGTTGCAGAGTGGCACAGTTAGTGAACTCTAAGCATACCCAATTGTCAGAAAATGTATCTTTTTAAAAGACAATTTGCAGTAGTATCAAATAATACAGCAAGAAGAAAGAGAACCATTTAAATTTAAATCAGTTAAAAATAACAAAAAATTAAAAATTCACTTTCTCAGGCACTTCATAGCCATGGGTGGCTGCAGTCTGAGATAGCGCATCCTTTAGAATGTTGTGATCATAGGAAATGGGAAATGTGTTTGCATAACTTGATTGAGACATATGAGAGATGGTGATCAATACATTTCCACCCTAATGAAATAGTTTGCACTTGGGAAGGTAAGGTGAAAAGGAACATTCATAACTTTTCTGAGGGCTGTACCTGTAGTGGATGGTGGTGAGAATCACTGTGGTATTATAAGATACCATTGTTTATATTTAAAAGTCTAAAAGACAGGTCACCTAAGCAGAATTATTATAAAGGGTTTGTGAGCTTGTGTGAAAATTGCACTCTTAAAGAGTATTAAATGTTTTTCTTCAACAGACATTGAACAATTGCATTTTTTTTTTTTCTCTCAGCGAGAACAGGTTCCAGAGGAATACTTTAGGCATGATCCTGAACACAAATTCATTTACAGATTTGTTCGGACTCTTTTCAGCGCCGCTCAGCTAACAGCTGAATGTGCAATAGTAACTTTGGTAAGATATTTATTCTTTCATAAAGCATCTTGCTAATTTCTGCCTTGTACACAGGGTATGATCCTGTTTTTTGAATAAAAGGTTTGAGGTGATCATAAGAACTTAAAAGGAAAACCTATCAAAGACAGCAGGAGGCACACATTCAAGATTAATTCTTGTTAACAGAACAATAAACTGGGGTGGGGGGGAAATGCCGGAGAGATTTCTTGTTTCTCCCTTTTCCACTCAAGACATACATGGCACATGCATCGTACCCATGCGTGCACAAATGCACATGAGGTGTGCTGGTGGGCTGGGCTGGGCTGGGGCCAGTAACAAACCATGTGGTCTGCAGGCAGGGACCATTGATTGTAGATCATTGTAGGTCTAAGCTAAGTCCTGTATTCCCGAGGCTGCATCCGCAGGCAGTTCTGATGTTTGCCCTCATTGAAAACTGTTACCAGCTGTTCTTGTAGTGGGTATTAATCCATCCTTGTGCTGCCTGTGAAGTTGCCCAGGGTTGTATTAGAGGTAGTATTAGGTCAGAAGCTGGCTTACTAGTATATAGTATTTGGTATATAATACTAGTATATAGTATATATATACTAGTAGTGTATAACACTAGTATGTAGCATATAATACTGATAGTAGCATTAGGTCAGAAGCTGGCTTAACTGACCCAAAAAATAACCCACCAACTCATTCCAAATAGGAACTGAACTACTTTGAAATAATGGGAGAAACCTGTACTTATGAGAGCAGGGTGGCACAGTGGCCAAGTAGTCGTTTCAGTCTATGGAACTGGAGCACAAACGTGAGCTACAGGTGGGGAGTTAACAGTAGCTATTCAAATACAGGAACGTATGTAGGGTAAACAATGGGTAGAAGATAGATCTATAAGAACTATCAGCACTTAAGGAAAAGGCCTCCAGAGAGTAGCTGGGGTGGTAGGAGGAAACCCAGGAGAGAAGAATAAAAGAAAAACGAAGGATAAAGGATCTGATGAGAACCCTTTGGCATGCTTTTTACTGGGAAGTGATGTGCTCTTAATCTAAGAGACCACCTCAATATGGCTGCTCTGTGGAGTGTAGATGTAGTGAGAACAGGTGAACAGGGATGATAAAAGCAGTCAAGTTACCAGCTAAGCTGGAGATAATAGGGCTCCTGATGGCCTGGAGCAGAGTAACTTCAAATTGAGGTGTTGGCCCCAGCAACTAGGTGAGTAGAGTGCCGATTAATTCCAAAAGAAGGTGTGCTGAAATTCTGTTGACCCAGGAGGACAAGTATTGTAAATGAAAGTACTGTCATTAAAACAGATTTGCCAGAAAGGTTGAGAGATTGCCAGCACTGTATAAATACCTCTAATTATTTGCATAAGTAGAAAGTTAAGCCTTGTAGGGAATTTCATTTTTGGCATACTTGAGAATGCTGAGTTTGTTCTGTTTTTTTTTTTTTTTAAAGATTTATTTATTTATGCATACACAAACTGGGGTGTAAGCCAGAGGTGTGGGGTAGTGAGAGGATTCACCAGAGAGAGTGGGGAGCAGAATAGATCCACTGAAATACACTGCTGAGGGGAACAGCGGGCAAGACAGAGGTCTGCTGTGCCATGTGTCAGCTCCCTGGCCGGGTATCGAACTCTGCAGTGGCTGGTGATAGTCTGCTAGCACTGTGTCTTTAACTCCTGCACCCCACGGGAGGGATAGGGGTGGGGGTGGGCAGAATGCTAAGTTTTGTGGGATGAGAGCAAAATTTCACTTAGAAAATAAAATATTCAATGACCATTTGTTTTGGAAAACAGTTGAATTTGGAGAACACTGGCAAATCTGAGCTGTCATTTTGAAAAATCTTGAGATCATAAACATACCTTCTTTTGTCTTGGTCAAATGGCATCTGTTCTCTTCTGCTGAACGCCTTTGAGGTAAAAACAAATCACAGCTTACCTAACGTTTACTCAGCTGTTAATTTGACCCAGTTCTTTGTGGAATAGGCATTTGACACATATAAAAGAAATCATGACATCATCTTTCAAACTGCCAGGCAGGTTCCAAGGAGTCCCAGGAATATAGAGACTGCCTTGAAACTAATAGAATGGACTCAGCTGCGAATTACGTGAGAGAAATGAATTATGAAATGTTAACGGAGATAGGACTATTCTTTGTTTGCATTGTGTTCCTTATAAAGGGCTGTGGAGGGCCCTCCCTGGTGGCGCAGCGGGTTAAAGCACAGCACTAAGAAGCTAAAGCACCTCCGCATGAGTTCGATCCCCGCCTGCCCCGGAGATGATCCCACTTGGCGAGGCAGACCTTTCCTGACCAGCCCGCTGCTCCCCTCAGCAGTGCACTTCGACAGTCTGCCTGTTCTACTCGCCACTCTGTCTCTGGTGAATCCTTTCACTACCCCTGAACCTCTGACCTGTACCCCAGCTCTGTATGCATAAATTAATAAATCTTTTTTAAAAAAGAAAAAAGAAAAAGGGGCTGTGAAAACAGAGGTGTCCCGGGTCCCTTGTGTTTTTACTGCCTGTCTGCTGTACCGCATAGTGGCCACTGGGAGGCTCCCTTGACCACCAGTAAAATTACCTTCAAGCTGATGCCACAAAAGGACTAGTGTAAACTGAGCAGGACACCACGCTCCAAGCACTATTTATCAGGGTTTTACATGGAAAGACAACCACCTCACTCCCCACCAGGTAGGCACATTGCATGCGGTAAGCCCAGAGGTGTTAGTGAACCCCTGGAATCCGCACTAGGTGTGTGTCTACTGCCCTTCAGGAGTAAGAAGGTAGTACCTAACATCATTAATAACCTGTCTTCAGGATGCTGTTTGCTGAGATGCTCATGTCTATGACCAAACAAAATTGTGCTGGAAATCTGCAAAGGCAGAGTAGGCAATAGAAGTATCTAACTTCACAGTTGGATATGGCTTCTGGCTTTGGCTGGCTGAACAGACGGTAGAATCTAAGATAATAAAGGCATGTCAAAAACAGATGATACCTGTCATTCCTAACAGTTCTTATCATAGCATTTAAACTGAACTGGAATCAAACACCAGTGCCTTCCTTTTGCAGGTTTACTTAGAAAGGCTTTTAACTTATGCTGAGATCGACATTTGTCCCACTAACTGGAAAAGAATTGTTTTGGGAGCCATTCTTCTTGCCTCCAAGGTTTGGGATGATCAGGCTGTGTGGAATGTGGATTACTGCCAGATCCTCAAGGACATTACAGTTGAGGACATGTGAGTGTACAGTTTTGGTAAACTTTCTAACCATCTTGCAATACCCCAATAAAGTTTACATTTTAAGAGGTATTTTTAAAAGTTAAATTATATTCAGAACTGAAATAGGCATTAAAATTACATATTTTCCTTTATCCGAGTATAGGTATAAACTTTCCATCATTAAATGGTAGGAGGACTTAATGTGTACAGTAATCTGCTTAAGAGGTTGAATGTATTTTTCTGCTGGTTTTTGGAAAACATTTAACAAGTTCTTCATCAGAGCAACACAACACACTCAGCATTGGTGGGTTCGTAGAGCTGCCTGCCTTCCAGTAGCGTATGTCTGGTCTTTGAAATTAGTGTTTGGCCACTCAAGAGGTCTTATGGCCTCCAGACTACTGACGGGTTATTCCTTCAACCTGAGTCATACATTGTGTATTTGCTTTTGCCGGGCTTTTTGTCTTGCTTTATCTGAAGTTCTGTTGTTAGAGAAACTTACACTCCTGTCTCCTCTATCAGTATTTAGAAATAGGTCTGATAGGTTTTGAGCTTTACCACTCAGTGCAGTTGAGGGCTTTCACTTCACCATATGAAGGTGCTCCTTGGGGTTGGTACACTAACATGAATTGGAGGGTTTTCCATCTGGACTACCTGGACTGCTATGAAAAGACCTTGAGGGTGGTAGTCCAAATGAGCCAGAGAGGAGGTAATCCCAGCAGATTCTCAGAAGTAGCCATTCAACAGTGAGAATGTCTTTGTGGGTGTCATTAAGGAAAATGTGAAAGCAGGCCACTTGATTGCATGGAATAGCATCAGAAAATCAAAACCATGGTGGTGACGGGTTTGTTTTTGTCACCTCTCCTCATTACTCCAGGTAAGACAGCCATTCAGAATTATGAAAATGCATAGTTACATCTCAAGTGTGGAAGTAAAAGTACTTTCAAGAGAAGAGACCTGGGATTGTTGGTAGCTACTGAAGGGATTTTGGTGAAAATGGATCCTTTGGCAATAGTATAAAGTGGGTGAATGTTGCTGGCGGCCATTTTAGCAAACAGTATAACAGTAAATATTGAACTTGAAATAATGGAAGCTGGAGAAACTGGAATGACTTTGATCACTGTCATCAGTCTTCAAACTGGTCCCATGGAGATAGAAAAAATTATGATTGTGAACACTATTCCCTGAAATTTTCTCAAAACCTACAGTTACACTGACTGAGACTCTGGCTTTAGTTAGACCATCAGAGAACATGCAGGAAAACGTGTGGGTTTTCATAAACGTGTATGCCAGAAGCAGCAGTGGCAGCCTCTAGCTACAGGAAGACTCGGGCTAAACAATGCTTTTGTGTTTGAACAGAAAACACCAGGAGCTATGTTTATAACAGGCTGCTTTTGTTTATAATCTTTGGAAGTGGGAAAGCATCACAACTGTGTGTTAAGTATACATTTGTTTCATCCCCTGCTGCTGACCACTGTTTTTAATAGTCTCATTTGGAGTCTAAATTGAAAAATTGGTGTATCAGCTTTTCTTAAAAGATCTCAACATTTATGTGTCTTGATAGAATATATTTCGCTTCAAAAGAATAAGTTAAACTGAGCAGCTGCTATTCAGAAAATTTGCTGTGCCTGTAAATGGTATGCTATTCAGCCATCTAGCCATTTAAAAAACACAAAAACCCAGAAGATGAATATTCTGTAGGCATAATGCTTTTCTTCAGTGATTAAACCTCTATTAATAGACATGTTAATCCTATGAAGTACTGTATTTCTACACAATTAAAATGTATTAGTGGAGAAAATATAAAAGGGATAGTGAAGTGCATTTATTCCTGTAGTAAATTAAGTCCTGATTAGCTAATTATCAAAACATTATCTGATTTACATTTCTATAGACTTATAGCCATGTGAACAGGAAATTAATTTTGGAAGTAGTTTCAGTTGGGTTTTAAAACTTCAACAAATGAGCCTCATCTCTGCTCATATTCTGACTGCTCTGTGTAGGAGAACATCAAAGATTTGTTGGCCTATGGATAAAATATTAAAACTTAAAACCCAAGAAAGCCGTGTAATAAAATGTCTTTAATATTTGTTAAGGTATTTATCATTTTTATATAATTCTGAAAAGGGTTTCTGTGAAAATGGAAAGTTTTATGGATTTTATATTTATCTAATTAAACATTTAGCCAAAAAAACTTACCATGTAGCAGACCACCACTTCGAGCATTTTCCTTGCCCACTCAAGTGAAGCTGCCTCTGGCATGTGTGCACGTTCTGATGTGGCCAGGTGCTGGTGCTGAGCACCTCAGGTTACCTCCCAGCGTGGGAGAAGCTGCTGAGTCCAGTGCCCCATCGGAGGTCACATAACAGAATGATGCAGTCAGGCCGAGACAGCTATCTTTCTTTTCTGTCTCCCGGTATTTAAAAAGTGCATCTTGTCTTGTCAGTGACAATTTCTTAACCCTGGTAAGATTAAGGTGAACAGAAACTTGCATTATGCCCTTTGACATAGCCTCTTCATAAGGGAAGGGGGGAAGGGATTCCCTTTCCCATCGAAGATAGCTTATTTATTTATTTATTTGAGATGAATCTTTGTTGCCTCAAGAGTTTCTCCCTCACAGAGATAATAGCACTGGCTCTCGATGGATCCATTTGTTGCCGTGGTGATGTGCCCACTCCTTTTGTTGGCGAGTCTATACTTCAATAAGCCCCTTCCTGTTATCGGTCCGGTGAAAATGTCTGCAAGTTCTTCAGAGCTAATAAACAGCACACATCGTTCCTTTCATCTGATCACTATAGCGGGGCCTTGTGAGTGAGCATGGAGCATGAATCGTACAGCTGCACTAATGGAACTCTGAAGAATGAGCCCCGAGTCAGCAGCACGAGTGCATAAGAGGGCCATAACCTCTTCCCCCTTGTCCCAAACTCAAAGTGCTGGGATGCAGAAAGGCCACAAATAGCTGTACCTTGTTTGAACATTAGTGTATTAATCCAGCTGGTAGCCTTTATTTGTTTCAAAACAGAATTCATCCATCCTCGCAGCTCAGAATGGTGTCTTGAAGATAGCTCAGTTGACTAAAATTGTCCTGCATTGGTTTTGTTGTCTCCTCCTCCCCCAGGAATGAGATGGAAAGACATTTTCTGGAACTACTTCAGTTTAATATCAATGTTCCTGCCAGTGTTTATGCCAAATACTACTTTGACCTACGCTCCCTAGCAGATGACAACAACCTGAATTTTCTGTTTGCTCCTCTTAGCAAAGAAAGAGCGCAAAACCTAGAGGTAAGGCTGCGGAAATCACTAAATGATATTTTCTCTTAGCTCTAATGCCGACACATGTGGCTCGGCCATAGTGAGCAGTGATTAGGAAAGTGGTTAGCTTGTAAGTCAACACACTGAAGAAATTACTACCCTTTGGCATCATAGTTCCAACCTGTCTCATGGCTTATACAAGCACCCTCTATTACACAGCAAATTAGACACAGTACTTTTGTGATCACAGTTCAGAATATTTTAACACTGTTCTTGTTTTCCACTTGAATTTCTACCAGCTATGAATAATTTACAGTTAGATCCCTAATCATGGCTATGTAGGTAATCTGCTTACCACTCTTAAATATCTTTAACTCATTTTGCAAATTCATGTCAGTGTTTTCTATATACATCACAGTTTAGTGCTCAGAGTTTATTAGACAAAGCATTAGTGGCTAACCTGTGAGATTGAACTTAGAATATATGATGCGCTTCAAAGGAGTGGGTTTTAATGGAGATGGTAATGTATATAGGACAAGGTAATATGGCTTACGACTTTTGGTGAGTACACAGCAAAATTATTCAGAACTGAAATGGACACATTTAAAATTGATGCCTTTTGTGGTACCTAGTGGTAACTTTCTAAGACAACATTTTTCCATAATGTGCAAGTGAAGTGTGTTAGCACCTTTTGGTGCTTCAGGCATTAGACTTTTTCTTCCAGTAAAGTTGAGCACATGCCTACCTTATTAAAATTTGCTTGATGGATGGAGATTGGAAAGAACTTAAATAGCTGAGAAACACCTATTTGTCCAAGTGTATATGCTAATTGTGTTTAAGGAGCTAAAAATGTACAGGGAATAGAAGCTTATGCTTTGAGGGACTTGTCACAATATCTTGGATGTCTTTGAGGACACAATTTTTAAGTAATTACCCCAAACACACCCAGTTTCAGCATTCTAATCTCGACCCTCAAAGAATATTACCATTGTGAATTGGCAGGAAGACAATACCCAGAACCTAGCAGTCTAGACTTCATTTATCCAAAGTAGCAGTAACTAGGACTTAGCTAAAGGAATACAGATGTGTGCCTTACCGGTGTTTTGTTTTTTAAAATTGGAGCCCCCCCACCCCCTTAAAAGATTGTACCTGTGTTCTCTTTGATTGACTTTCCTAGGCCATTTCCAGATTGTGTGAAGACAAATACAAAGACTTATGTAAAGCTGCCATGAGAAGATCTTTCAGTGCTGATAATTTCATTGGTATTCGGCGTTCTAATGCCATCCTCTCTTAAGGGAGAATTGTGAGTGATGAGAACGTCATGAACTCCTCACCTGCTAAAAGACTGGAGAATATCACCTCTCCTGCTCAGAAACCAGCAAAGTTAGTATTTTCGCCCAAAAGAAAGACGTGGAATTCAAGAAACTCACGAACAGCAAGATCACACTCACAGGAAAGAATGGGACCTTATCAGTGCAACACACTCTTCTGTCCTTTTTAATGTAAACAGAGTTACAAAACCACTCCAAAGCAAAAGCTCCTAACCCACATATGTATAATTTGCGTACCTTGTTAGGCCAATAGCTATGACGCTATGTGAGGTTTTTTAATGGTTTAAATTTTTAGATTTTAAAGACACTAACTATGTAACTTTTGTTTTTCATATATTTCTTGGTCCTCTGCCCCCCATATTGCTGCATGTGCCTTTAGATCCAAAGCAGTGTTACCATCAGTAAGACCTAGTACTCTGAACTCAATAGGAACAGACTCTCGCCAATAGATTTTGGAGGGTTCTTGTCCCTTCTTTGTCATTGAAGCTGCTAGTCATTATTGGCTGTCAACTTAAGCCAAAAAGCTGCTGTTGTAGCTTGTTAGCATGTTTGGGATCATAAACACAGAAAGTACCTGTCATTGTCTACTTCTGTTGGGTCCATGCTGCGTTTCTTGTACTATAATGGTGCTTCTCATTTTCTGATGGTTTTCCTCTTTTAAAAAAATGTGTAGGATATTTTCATAATTACAACCAACATGGTGGTCCAGTAATAATGATCAGGGAGTGAAACAGAAGGGTGTCCCCGAAGCGTAAGTGCTATTTTAAGCTTTAATAAGAGTATTAGTGGGCCCTCTTGCATAATGCTGAAGTATAAATGCCGCAGATGTAGAAAACAGGATTTTTAAGTTTAAATTTCTTTTAACCTTATCTAGGTTTGTTAATTTTAAAAATATTGAGCTTTTAATTCTAATTTTTTGTGTCAGCCACTCTTGAAATTGGCAAACACTGACTGAAACAAAAGATTAAAATTATAAGCTCAATATTTTAGATGTATAGACCTACATAGGGTTAAAAGAAATTTAATTAAGCTTCTTTCTGAATGATGTTTTCTACATTGGTGATATTCACACTTCTCCAAGGAGCAAAGTTTAAGATTGCACTGATACTTTTGGGATGTCTTACATCTCCATAGATATGCTGCTTCCTCTTTTTAAAATGGGTCTTGCAGGGTTGTGCTCTTTACCTGCTCTGATCATTTGTTTCTTTTTTCTAGATTTGGTAAAGAAAGATTCTGAAAAGAAGTTTTAATTTACATGTAGTAAATTGAAAGGAATTGGACCCTAGTAGCGATATGAAAGTAAGTGATGTGAAACAGCTTTTCTGTCCTACACCTTAACCCGGCTGTAGGTGGCCGTTTCCAGTCCTGCAATTTAAGAGGAAACACAGAAAGCATAGAAACACTTCCCTCTAGCTTTAGCGTGCAGAGTTAAGGAATCAGTCTTTCAGGAGACGGTCAAGATTATTAGCAAACCTTGAAATATTTTTAAAAAATCAGTATTCTCAACTATGAAATTCAAATGTAATACTAGGGATTTTGCTTGTAAACAAAGCATTTTTGGGCCAGGAATACTTTCTCAATACAGCAAGGCTTCACATATTAAGTGCTGAAGTTTCCATTATTTTTAAAAGACAGACACAAACGATAATGGTATAGAAAATGATTACAATCTACCACCTCAGAAAACATTTTTTGGAGTTTGGAGCTTGGAGATTCAAGTATTGATTGCAGCTTTACTTTGAAAAGGATACTACAACTTGTGTGGTTTTTCTTTCTCGTTTATATTAAAAGAAAAGTTAATAAACTCTATTTTTAATTACAATATGGCTAGTGTCTAACACTTCTCGGGTCACACAGGGTACTTCTCTGACTAACTTCAGTGGTATCATTCAGTTCTGTTAGTGGAGTCTTGAGCATTTTCAGAGAGACTACTCATGAGTTGTTTTGACCCTTGCCTCGAGTTAAGATGTAGTTATTTCTTTGGCTTTTGTTCTTTTCAACTTGAAGGAGTTTATTACTTTAAAATCACCCTGGCCGCACAGTACTCAGCGGCATGGTACTTTAAGTGGCATCTTTGAATACTTCCTGCTCTGCCAACAGTGAAAAACATCTTGAAGACAAAATTAAGTTTAGCAATGAGAAAGGAATTATAGGCAGACTGTAGAATTGGTATTAGCTGAAGATTTCAAGCAGTTAAACAGATACAAAATGGACCTAGAATTGTGCTTACAGAATACAGGACTTTAACAAGCCACATAATTTGACTTTAAAATCCTTTTTGCCTAACTTAACATTTCAGTTAGAAATAAACCAAGTTGCTACACGGTTTTTAAACCTAAGACCCTAGGCACCAGCTCAAGCAATACTCAGAAGATCCTAGCAGTGTTGCAGTATTTTCATCCACTTTATTTAACTATCTACAGTCAAATGTCATTACTTTGTTCTGATTAGAATAAGTGGTTTAACTAGAAGGAAAAAAAAATCGTAGATCATTTGTTTTCAGAATAGTTTCACCCTATCATATACCAGTACATGCTGACAAATAGTCAAAAGATTTTTTTTTTTTAATTTGGGATGGGGGGGGCGTGCATGATTGGTTTCAAGAACAAACTGGTAGAACAATTGGCGCTTTAACTCTAGAAGGTAATAGAATCCATCTTAATGGGAAATTGAATCAAATTCAGGTTAGAGTATGTGTCACTAAAAGCGAATAGGTTGACAAATGTGAGGTTGGAAACTAATCACTTCTAGGGTGAGAAGGCTTTTTATAGGTACAAAATCCTTTTGTTCCCCAAAAGGATGAAGATCATATAGGATCATCTGACTAACTCAGTCTGACTTCATTATTTTTTTACCACTGGAATGCAGACCTTAATAAAATTTTAACTGGTATAGCCTGCGATCGAACGCTCTACCCATAAATATGTCCTCTAAGTCTACAACAAAGTAAATGTAACTTTTTTATTTTAAGATTTATTCATGCTTACAGAACTGGGGTACAGGCCAGAGGTGCAGGGGCAGTGAGAGGATTCACCAGAGATGGATTAGGGACCAGAACAGGCAGATTAAGGAAGTACACTGCTGAGGGGAGCAGCAGGTAGGTCAGGAGAAGTCTGTCCTGCCATTTGGATCACCCCTGAGGCGGGGATCCAACTAGCACTGAAATGGCTCCTGCTTACCTACAGTGCTGTGTTTTAACCTATTGCGCCACCAAGGAGGTCTCCCCAAATCCAACTTTTAAAAGGCCTTTATTAGAAGGAAAAGACACTGGCCTAAAAAATGGTTCATCCCAAAAGAACATTTTAGGGCCCAGTGTATCTGGTTATAGAGGGATTATTTTTAATAGCACCTCAGATTTTGTCTCGGCTCCTTTGCGTTTACTGGGAGTATACCCCGTGTGCCCATACATTATTGAAATCAAATAGTACAGAATCCTGGTTTCATAAAGTGTAAGATTCATAGCTTGATTTAGTTTTCCTAAATCTATAAATATGCCAGTCCTTGATTTTAAAAAAAAGTCCTGACACTGAAAAAAAAAAAAATGCTGACTCCAGTATTTGCCAGGGAATGGTTTACTCGATATTCAAGTTATGCAGTTGTGGGGGAACATTTAGCTACAGCATGTAGATTAGCTAAAATCTTTCATCACCCAAGCTCTCTCCCTAACCATATCCAAAGTGACTAGAATTCACCCAGAAGTTGCATTCTTGAATGAAGCTAGTTGGAAAAACATTTCAAAGCTGACAGATACCTCCCAGTAAATGCTAGTTTATATGCAGGATCTGTAGGTTGCACCCAGCACCTGATTAGATGGCCTGAAATTCTCTTAATACCTAGCAACGCATTAGCCTGACCTGTGCCAGCAAGTGACACAAATGATCTAAGAAGCCTTCTGCAAAGCCTGCCCCCAATTCACAGGCTCAATCTGTTTGGTTTCTGAGGCCATTTTAAATGGGCTTGGCAATGAGACAATACATACTTAGTGTGAACTTTTAATACCAGTGTGATTTAGGATCTCTAGGGTACAGAAAGCTAGGAAAGTGAAAGTATTCAAATGAAAGGAATCCTAGTCATGAGAAAAGGTTAGATGATGATTGAAACTGCTGCCAGGGTCCTCCCTGATGGCCTAGGGGTTAAGTCCAAGCACTGAATTGGATCTCTGGCCAGGGAGCTGACCCATATGGCACAGCAGAACTCTCCTGTTTCCCCTGCTCCTCTCCTCAGTGAATTTCAGTAGCTCTGTCTGTTCTGCTCCCCACTCTGCTCTGTGAATCCTGTCACTCGCCATGCTGCTGGCCTACACCCTAGTTCTACACAAAACAAAACAAACCTATTGAAAGCAAGCAAAATAATTTGGACTGGACGAGAAAAATTTCAGAACCCAAGGTCCTCAGGCCTCCATGCCTTTTTTAATTCTACTTTCCTGCCACCTCAAAGGTGGCCCCTGTATCTCACCACTTTCCACTGCTGATAAGGGCCCAAGATCGCCTTGATCTTCACCCTCTGACCTTCTGCTAATGTCCATTGTGGCTTGATGTCAGTTACTACTTCCCCATCTCCAAAGTGTTACTACCAGGCTCCAGGAAATACAAGTTTACTCACAGGCGAAGTAGCCCTTTAATCACCTATTTTGAACCTTCCCATGTTTCTCAAAGTAGCTGTTTACAGCTTACTGCACTTGCTGACCCCCAGAGCTGCCCACACCATAGCTGAATCTCAGCCGAGGCGGCAGCCACTTCCATTCCAAAATTTGGTTCATTTGGCTTTAGGGGTAGAGGAGTAAGGTAGGTAACCCTGTCTCTAATGGAGGGGGTTCCATTCCTATCTAAAATCAACCTTGTTTCTACCCCCCTCCAATTTATTCCCTTCTACTTGAGAATTATATTTTTCTCCCCAGTGTGTGTGTGTGTGGGGGGGGCAGTTTGATTCTGCTCAGTCTTTACACATTCTAGTGTTTCTCAAGAGTCCTCTCATCAGCTGGAAGTGCCTATGAAAAATGAAGCTTCTCTAAATGCAGTGTGGAATCCTGGATTAAATCCTGGAACAAATAAAGAACATTAGTGGAAAATCTGGTGAAATCTAAATGAAGTCTGGAATTACTAGTACAATGTGCCAATGTTGACTTCTTAGTTTGACAAATGTGCTATGATAATGTTAACATTAGGGGAAAATGGGTAAGAAGTATACAGGAACTCTGGATTATCTTTGCAACTTTTTTGTAAACCTAAGTTAATTCCAAAATAAAGTTTATTTGAAAAATACAGTGGCTTCTTGTGCCCCAGATGAATCTCAGTTCCTAGAGAGGAAGTCTGAGAATCTGCATTTTTAATAGGAAGTCCGAATTAATCTTAATGGACTCACATTTGAAAACCTCGTGTTTGAATTCCTTTTCCATCCCATGCCTCAACAGCTGCTTCCTCCTTGCTTTGCTTACCTTAAGCCTTTAGCTTCCTTGAGCCCTAAGACAGAAGTAATACTATTATCCCCTTTTTACACAAGAGGAAGCTGAAGAACTGAGGTGGATGTGTCCAGGCTCACACTGCCAAACGGATTTGAATCCCTGGTCAGTCTGGCTCACAAGTCTTTGAACGCAACTGCTCTGCCAATCCAGCCAGTTCTTATCCTTTACAGGGTGTGGCCAGCTAAGGAGCTGTCACCAAAAAGCGTTAGAGACACTAGTTTCCCCAAGCCGCTCAATCTGACAGTCCTTTTGCTCCAGCTCATGACTTTGCCCTTTCCCTGGCCTGTCAGGGGAAAGGCACTGGGGAAACGTGCAGCGAGAGAGAGCCCTGTGTAGTAAGGGACAGTCGTTCTTCCTTCAGCCTCCAGTTCAACTGTTGAATTTTCTATTCAGCTTCTCAACTTCTCTAACTTATGTACCAGTCTAATGTTCATAGCATCCACTTTGACATTAGTATGGAACTTTAGTGAGAAACGGGACCTGTGAATTGCTTCTAATTATAACCATGGGCAAGGTGATGAGAGGTCACTCTTGAGATTAGCTTGTAATGTGCAACAAAGGGAAGGTCACCTTGGTGGGCCTAGGTTTCTTTTCCCCCCAAACATTCTAAGTGCTAAGGACCCATCTTTGCCCATGTATCTGTGCCTCAGCATTGCCAGAGAAGCCTGACGCTGGGTATTAACGGGAGGTGAAGGCGGGGAGACTGGTGGGTAAATGTGCATTTCATGGGGACAGCAGCCACTAGAAAGTACTGGTGATCATGCCTCAGGTGACTAAGCATCTGTCCAGGTTACCTTGGCAGTGCCAGCTCTCAACCAATTTATATCCTCTGATGTGGGTTTCCTGACTTGTAGCTAAAGCTTAATACCAAGTTGCAGATCTAAATGCCAAGTGATAAGACAGTTTTGGGAGTTCCTGCCCCCCAACCAGTCACAATAGTACCACCTCCATTCAGAGAGTTGAGTGCAGATTTTAGGCAGAAAGCTGATAAAATGGAACACGGTGCCAGGCAATGTCTGCCTGAGGGTTTCCCTTATTTCTTGCAGTGAATTATGAGACGTCCGTAGGATCAGCAGGGGAAGCCTGTATAGTATATTCAAGTAGACCATTTTCATTCTATTTCTGATGATTGGAATTGTATTTTCTGATCAACAGAAATGTTTCCACTTGCATTTTAAGTACATCTGAGAACCTGATTATGAAGTTAGTATCCACAAATCTCCTCAGATACACTTACTTAGAAAGTAGTCTCTCCATAAAAGCATGAGGAGAAAAACAATACAGCATCTTTTATTTTCTTTACCATTGCTTTAATGCACTTTAAAATTTATCTACATTAATTGGGAACAAAGAAACAAAAATAGACATTTCTTTGTTTTTTCATAAATAACTACTCTTCATATTTAATAAAATCTCAAACCATTATTTTACTTTCCCACAAATATAATACAAATTTTTTCTGAAATAAGGTCAGCAAATTAAGTATCTCGAGACTAACATAACCACATACAATTGCTCTTCTACTTCCAGGAACAAAACCAAACCAAAAACTTACCAAGATGCTCTGGGTTTCCTTTTGTTAGTGTTATGGATTCAGAATTGTAATTATCTGCCAGTACTACTTTATAGGTTCAAGTTGATTGTCTACAAGTAAAATATCACTGGCTCTGGTTTGTGAGTTCTGAATTGAACACGACAGCGAGGCTACTGCTGGCGAGGCACTACACAGATGTGGAAATCATGAAAAGTACTGAATGCCCTGGACTCAAGCTACTGACTCGGTATGTGCCTCATTTGGCTCAGTAATAAATTCACCAAACCCGTATCAAGTCACTAAATCTCTCATATATATAATATATATTATGTATATACATACCAACAACACATACACACTGTACATACAGTTTGTAACAACATGAATAGTGTCTTCAAATGATGTACCACAGACATTGCCTGGCTGAAATAAATCCTGTAATTGTCATCAAGCTGCTAGCAGCTTTTGAGAAGTGTGCGTCGGGTTACTTACTTGCATCTTGCCTCCCCTTCACCCTGCTTTAATGTCTCGGTAGCCTTTTCTTTCAGAAGCGCCCTCCCCAACCCAGGCGTATTTCTTTCCCAGGGTTATTGGATTGGACTGTGGAAGCAAGAAAGGCCATAGAGGGGGAGCAGGCAATTCTCAGCCACTGCACCTCACACCTGCCTTGGTTTGTGATGTTCTGTCCTGTTTGCCACATTTGGTGTTAGAAAGCAGTTATTCAAAGCTTTGTCCCTTTTACCCCCCTTGTTCTTTCTGTAAGAGCACAAAAGTGAAAGAAGCCTCTTTAGCAGGGTAGCAGTTCATTAAAATACACAACTACATTTCCTAGCTCTGGGGTTCCCATTCTGTACTTGAGAGTGCAGGTCACGGATGCTGTTATTAAGGTTCGGCGTGGGATCCATGAGGTTTCCTCCCGGCAGCCGGTGTCAGGATTAGTGCAGCCCTGGCCCAGGAGGAAACAGCCTAATGAACACCAACTTTGAATCAGTGCTGTCGGCACGTTATTTCAGCTTGTACATGCGCACGGTTACACACAACACACACATACACGGAAGCCTGTCATGGGAAACGGTCACGTGAAAATATGACAAAGGTTTACAAGGATAAACCAATAAGGCACCAAGGAAAAAGATTTTCAGCCAATTTAGACAATTCAAAATATGTGGAGGGAAAGCATATAAATTAAAAGATTTCCTGAAGTCTGATCAAGTGATTCACTGTGAGGTCACATGAGTTCCTTTCGACAACCTTCTCACTAAACCTCCACCCCCTCACCATAGCTTAAGCCCAACTGTGAAAGTGCCCACTGGAAATCTGCCCCCCCCCCCCAAGACCAGACACAGGGCCCAGAATCCCCTTCAGCCTTATCACAGTGGATGTGCCGTTGGTGAACCACCCCATAACCTTTCATTCTGTCATGGTAGAATAAAATGCAAACTGAAAAAAAATAGTGTGTGGGATGAGAATGGGGGTGGCCATAAACAGATCCCACTTTTCACCTTGGGTAGGGGCTGGGGCTCTTGATACCAGTAAGTCTTTAGGGAAACAGGTGGGCTTTAGTTTTGAGGAAGGGAAAAGGAGAGCAGGGGTGAGATCAGGGGCTGAAAACAAAGAGGTGACCCTATATGTTGCTTAGAAGCTAGATCCCAGGAAACTTGACCTATATTACCTCTCCTTAGTATCCTTTGTCTTAACTAATTTTTAAGTAAATTATTTGTTCTGTTTAGGTGTGCCATGTTGCAAAAATGAGAAAACAACTTTTAAAAATTAATCCAATCACTGACTTTATCGACAATTTTTAGATGAATTGTGCACCATTTCTAGAATGCTCCAATTTAGGCACAATAACTGAAGGCAGCAAAACATTCCTTGTATTTTCTGGGAAGACATACAAAGTGGAGCAAGAGGTCAAGGTGATCAGGGAAGGTCCTCATGTGAAAAATACAAGAGGAAAACGGCCGTTAGACTGGGATCTAGTTCAAGGTTGTAAGAAACTTCTTAAGAATAATGAGCTGTGCAAAAAGACCTACAGCTATGTGTACTAGCTTTTGTTGAAGTCACTGAGATTTTAATGTTGGTTCAAAGATGAATGTGTAAGAGCAGTGCATTTTTACATGACCATTTTCTGAGAGTTCTTAATAGTACCAGGCAGCTCCCCAATCAGTAAATATCCAAGTAAGTATCCAGCAAGTTCAGTATGCATTTGTTTAGTTAATATCCATGAAATAAAAATTGACCTGGGCTTAATCTTTTTCAGCTTTGGTATCAATGAAGTATAAATACCTAGACTTGCTCTCCTATGGAGGCCTTCTCAAATTTCAATTGCTGTTGCGTTTTAGCATCCTAAATTTAGTTCCCTCTCAGTTTTGGTCACTGGTGTTTCACTGGTCAATGCAGTCACCCCTTCCCCCAGCGATGGCCTCACACTCTTCATGAATGAATGGTTAAACAGATTAGGGAAAGCAAACACAATTTTCTAATAGTAAAGAAACCTGTGTGTGTGTGTGTGTACGCGCGCGTGTGTTCATCAACATACGGGCTTTCTTATATGAATGAAGGAATGATTAAACAGATTAGGAAAGCAAACAGCATTCTCTAGCAGCAGTGTGTGTGGTGTGTGTGTATCACACTCACCACTAGATAGACTTTGTCAGTGAAGGAGGAAAAGGAAAATAGGTGGGTGCGTGGGGGGTGTCAGCCTTCCCCTGCTGCAGCAGTACACTAACCCCTATTTTAGAAGCTTGTGCAGATGTGTTAGGGGGTTCATTTGTTTTTAGAGACTGCAAAGGGCAGTTATCTTGCTGCTTTTTGAATATCTGGCTGTAAAATAGTCCAAAGTCCATGGACACTCATTTTCCCTCATTGCTGCAATGTTTGTTCACAGGTAGCCAGCCTCCCTCCCCCAGCTCAAGCACCCCATTCAAGGGTGGGTGTGGTTTCTAATCACTGCTCTCCAGGAGGGGAGGAGTAAGAAAAGCAAAAAAGACTGTTTAACATGATAAAAGAGGTAGGATGGGGGTGGAGCAGATAAGAGAAGTGTTGGAAATTTACTTAATTACTGGGGGTCTATCCATTTAGTTCGAAAGGATCCCCTTTTAGCAGCTGTCACTCAGTACTTCCATAAGGGATTGGGTTTACTTTTACCAAAATTATAACAAGTTCCTTTTGTAAAAATATTGGGGTCACTGAAGCTTATTAAGAACTACTTCTTTGGCATAAACTTGCCATCTTAACAGTCTAGAATTCAAGCTCAACCAATCACCATCCCTTAGCTTCTCAACTATTTCAAATATTTATACTATAGTGCTACCTCTAACATTCAAGACACAACGGCCTGCGCTGTTAGTAATGATTACAAGTGGGGGGTGGGGGAGGGGAGGAGATCCAAACTCCCAAAAGAAAACTAGGGTGAACATAAAATCCCTGGAGGCTTAACCTTGCTACATTTAGGAGGCCCTGCCCACATTATGTTCCCTCCCCCTGCTTGGGATGATTTGAGGGTTCCCCTAATTTATACAGTTCATTAGGAGAACAGGTGGAGCAGCTCACCTTAAAATATCTTGGACACTTTAAGCAGTGAAAGGTGAAACAAGATGAAAAAGCCCAAGGGATAACTTACCAGTCACAGCAACCCAAACGTTCACCGTTCACATTTTTCTTTAAAGACAGAGTACAGGAAATATATTTTCCCAAATTAGACCACACAGTTCAAAGAAATCTGAACCAAGTGGAACTTCATTATAATGCCAACATTAGGACCGTAAAGTACCAAAGCAAAGGTAAATTTTGTTGCCAAAATGCAACAGTTAAAAATTAGGGGGAAATGGCATATAAATTAAAAAGAGTCCCCCCACCCAACCCCCCCAAAAAAAGGCAGTAAGAAACGCAAAATAGAATACTCGAGAGCTGAGCCCCTTTGAGAAGTCCTCGGACAGGCGTCCCTTGAATCTGCCCCTCTCCCCTCCTCAGGGGGCCGAGGAGGGGGCAGGAGGGGGCGTCAGCACCACGGGGGGGGGGATGGAAGTGAGGGGACAAGCTGGCACCCAGACAACGCCCCTCACTGCGGGCCAGGTCCCTGGGCTGCGGCCTGCCTTCTACACGTGCGACAGTGACACCTGCTTGTGGTAGGCGGCGACGGCGGGGCCCGGGGGCCCGGTCCTGCCAGTCAGCGCAGCACTCGCCTCGGCATAGTCCCCTGCGGCCGTGGCGCCCCCGCTCTTGTGGCCCCGTCGCGGACGGCAACAGCAGCGGCTGGTGAAGCGCCGCCACGATTCCACCGTCTTGCCCGACCAAATCCAGACGCCCGACGTGATGCCCACCACGAGGCACATGAAGTACTTGAGCATGAGCACCCAGTACTCGGGCTTGGCGCGCGGCTGGCCGGCGTCGGGGCCCGGGCAGGCGCAGGTGAGCGCGGCCTCCCAGCTCTCGCGGTAGTGCTGCTCGTACAGGTAGCAGGCCACCACGATGCTGGCAGGCACGGTGTAGAGCAGCGTAAAGATGCCGATGCGGATCATGAGCTTCTCCAGCTTGTCCGTCTTCGTGCCGCCCTGCTTGATGACGCTGCGGATGCGGAAGAGCGACACGAAGCCCGCCAGCAGGAAGAGCGTGCCCACCAGCAGGTAGAGCACCAGCGGGCCCAGCACGAAGCCGCGCAGCGAGTTCAGGTTCTGATTGCCCACGTAGCAGATGCCAGCCACCGGGTCCCCGTCCACCGAGCTCAGGGCCAGCGCCGTGATGGACTTGACGCTGGGGATGAGCCACGCGGCCAGGTGGAAGTACTGCGCGTAGCCCGCGATGGCCTCGTTGCCCCACTTCATGCCCGCCGCCAAGAACCAGGTGAGTGACAGGATTACCCACCAGATAGAGCTGGCCATGCCAAAGAAGTAGACCAGCAAGAAGACCACAGTGCACAGCGCAGGGCCCGTCGTCTCGTAGTGGATGTGGCTATGCTCGCGGCTGCAGGCGACACTCGCATGGCCCACGACCAGGCGCACGAGAAAGCCCAGTGACACGCACAAATAACAGGCTGACAGGAAGATGATGGGGCGCTCGGGGTAGCGGAAGCGTTCCATGTCTATGAGGAAGGTGGCCACCGTGGTGGAGGTGGAAATAAAGCACAGCACAGACCACAGGCCGATCCAGAAGGTGGCGAACGTGCGCTCGTCGGGGCTGAAGGACGGCTGGTAGCAGGGCACTGCGCAGTTGGGCACCTGGCCCGTCCGCACCTTGTTGTACAGCGGGTGCGACTCCTTCAGAATGGGCACAAAAGGCTCGCGGCACTTGCACACCGAAGGTCCCCCCGCGGCGCACTCGCTCCCTGGAGCCGGCACCCCGGGTGGGCCCGAGAGGGTGGGCTTGGCCGGGACAGGCCTGGGAGGGGCCGTGGTGGCCTCGCTGCGGTTGTAATCCATGCACAGGACCTCGGCGTCGCGGCCCAGCACCGGGAGGCGGTCGCAGCTCATGCGCTCCGGCCAGGCGAAGCCGTACTGGCGCATGAGCGGCGAGCAGCCGGCTTTGGCGCGCTCGCACACCGAGCGGCAGGGCGGCAGCGGCTTGTGGTAGTCCGGCAGGCAGATGGGCGTGTACATGGAGCACAGGAAGAAGCGCAGGTCCGGCGAGCAGTGGATCTCCACCAGTGGCCAGAACTGGTGCACCTCCAGGCCAGCCTCGTCCTGAGTGTCATGGTTGAACTGGTTGGGCATGTGCGTCAGGTTGTAGCCGATGCCGCGGCACATGGGCACCGTGATTTCCTGGCACACCGGGGCCTTGGAGGCGGCCGCCGCCCGGCCCGCCAGCTGCGCCAGGAGCAGCAGCAGCAGCGAGGGCGGCGCGCACGGGTCAGGCCGAGCCATAGCCCCCTCCCTCCCCTCGCCTCCCGCCGCCCGCGCGGGGCCGGCGCAGGCAGGGGAACCCGGGGCAGGGGCTTCCCTCTCCGCGGACTTGTGAGTGGTTCCCGGACTGGCAACCTGTTGGTTTCTTTTTCTCTTAAAGAAATCCGTCTAGAGATCAACTGCTTCGGCAGCGCTCAGCTCTTCGCCTAGCAGGGCTGGAGAGGGTCGGCGAGGGCTCTGCTTCCAGGGAAAAGTGCTCTCTAAAAAAAAGAAGGTGGGGAAGAAGATTGCAACCACTCCCAATTAGAGGGGCGGCCACGGCTCAGGCCCCGCAAGCGGTCTCCAAATCTGTAAGTTAACCTCTCCCCCCGCCCCCACTCCTGGAACCAAAACTACTGACTCCCCACTGCCCCCTTGCCCCGCCTCCCTTTCCGCTGGGCCCTCCAGGCTGTACCCTGGCGTCAGAGCGTTCAGTCCCCCGGAAAAAGGCAGGGGGGCCGGGAGAAGAATGGGGAGAAGAGGGAAGGCGTTGGCTCTCACCTCCAGATCCGGAGAGAAGCAGATAGTCCACAGCCAGCTGAGTTCTCCGTCCCTGGGACACTCGGTTCAGAAATGCGCCTAAAGCCGGGCTGACACCGGGAAAGTTTGGCGATAGGCTGGGTACTCGAGACGGCGGCACATGGCAGCAGGTGGGGGCGTCTCAGAGAGGGGGTCGCCTCCTGAACGCCACAGGCCGGTCACTCGCCGTCTCCTCCTCCGGGGCCCCCAGCATGATCCGGGCGGGGCAGGGCAAGGGCAGGCCGTGCGTTCCTCCAAGGTCCGGGAGTAGGACGAAGGGCGAGGGCGCCTGGCACCACCTGGGCGAGAGGAAGGCGGTGCGCCAGGGCTGGGGGACCCCGCCGCCTCACAGCCGCGCAAGAAGCCGGCGCTGGCCCCGCGGGGACTGCATGGTGCGCGCCCGCCGCCGCGTCCGGCCCGCCGCTCGCCTCCTCCCCTGCAGGGGGCTCCGAGATCCAGCGGACTCCTGGGGGTGGTGGCGACGCTCCCGGGACGCGCCCGACTCAGCTCCTCCCCCGCGCACTCGCACCCTTTCGCCCACCTCCGGCCGGCACTGAACGACTTGCAGCGGCTGCGGCGGGGGCGGCGGCGATAGAGTCACGGCCGCGGGCTGACTGGCCTCTCCCGCCCCGCCCGGGTCACCTGCCTCTAATGCCCGCCAGGAGGCCCCGCCCCGGCCCCGCCCCCTCGCGCTGGTGCTCGGTTGGTGGGCCGCCCCGCCACGCTCTCCGCGCTTCCCCGCCCACTGCCCCGCGGACTCGGCCTCTCCCCCCCGGCGCCCTCTGGCCCCGCCTGGAGCGGGCAGCCGAGGGACTCGGGCCAATCGCCGGCCGGGAAGCAATGAAGGCGGGGCGAATGCTAATCAAGCCTTCTTGAGACCTGGAGCGGGAAACACTTACTCCGAATCCCTCCCGACATCTCTGCCGGCGCCGGCCGAGCGGGACTCGCTCTCCTGTGATGATCTAGCTTAGGAACCTTTGCTTCCAGGGCGCACCAGGTCTCCTCTCTGCAGCTAAGCATCCTTGCAGAGTCCAGCGCTTGTTTAAAAGAACTGCTCAGAGACTCATTCTTATCCGTGCCACCTGTCTCCTCTCTGCGCTGTCCTCATACCGGGTGAGTTCACGTTCAGAGAAGAGGAAGTACTTACTGAGCCCCTACTGTGTGCCGGCCAGCGTCCCGGTCGCTGACAGCTTAGAAGATCTCCACTTCTTGTAACAGTTCTCTGAAGGAGGTACTCCTTGCACGTGAAGAAAGCGAGCTTTAGAATCTTAACCAAGGCTTTTCCCGAGAAAGCCAAGATCCGGGGAGTCTTGTTCACCTCCCTGTTCCAGGCATCTGGCACGTAGTAGGTGCTCGGTAGCAAACCCAAGACTGGGACCCAGGTAGTTAGTCGAGGCTTGCACAGTTGTAAACGCTCCAATTTCCCTCCCCCCCCATCCCCATGCTACCGTGATCTCCCAGGCTTCAACCTTTATTTTTTTCATTTAACAAAAGTATTTTGAGACAAGAAGGTGCTTTTCTGGTTTTGGGGGTTACTTGAGAGATATCAGTCCTTTATCAGTCCAGGTTTAAAATCTCAGGCAATTCCGAAGCCACCCGCAGAGTGAAGCAGCGCAGACTCCCGGCTCTGTGATCCACTGGGCGCACGTTTCCCCCTTCCCCAGGCCTGCCGGCCGCCTAGCCCCCAACCCGCGCGTCTCTGGGGAACTGGGGCGCCCCGAGCAGCCGGAGACCTGCCGCTCCCCTGACTGCTGGGTCTTACAGTGGCGCTCTCCAGAGAATGGGTTATTCTGGTGCAAGTGTTCAATGTCCTAAAAATGCCTCTTTTTTACATGTTCTAATTAGGTTGGAAGACTGAGGTGTTTAGCATACTTGAAGTTCATTCACACGCTCACAAAGAGGGTTTGAATTGTTTCCTGCTTCCCCCCACCGCTTCCTTCCACTGGGAAGAAGGCGAAAAAAGGCCTGAGGGCCTGGGGCTTGGAGAGTTCAGGACTGCACTGGGCACTGGGATAGACCGTGCTCATTGTCCTCAGTCCTGGATCCATTTGTGGAGACTCGGAGGCTAAATAGCAGAATAACCCTCTCCCTCCTGCTTATCAACAACAATGCTTTGTGGGAAATAATGAAGAATGTGTGTATTCATTCCAAACCTCAACGTTAAAAGAGACACGTGTATCAATCGCTTCACAAAAATCAAAACTATTAATAAAAGATTAAAACGTACATTTTCCACTCCCTGGAATGCTACAGGTGTTCCTATGTTATCTCTTTTGTTTTTTTTTTTTTTGAAATACTTGGCACTGTGGGTCGGCAAACATCCCAGGTTGAAAGTAGTGAGAGTTGAAAAGCTATGGAAGAGCCGTCAAAAAGAAAGGGAAGCCCTCAGCTTGAAGTGTGTGCACCCTGTGAACTTGCCAAAGGGGGGCAGTTTCATTGGGCGCCCTTTATGAGGCGTGTGTCTCACTGGGGCTGGACAAGTGGTGGCTAATGATAAAAAGTATTTAAAGTTGGAGAAGGCTAATCACGCACATTGGAATTTGGCCATAACGTTTGTGTTTTGTCACTTGTTCCGACTCATATGATGGTATCTGCTGGCTTATAAACTTCTTTTTAATCAATAGCAAAATGTTATTTTTGCTTAGAGATCTCTAATAATACTAGTAATGCCAGTATTACCAAAACAACCTATTTTACATTGTATAGCTTGTCATATCTTTGCATTTTTGCTCTTTTTTTTTTTTAACATGTATTACTTCAGTTTGAAGGCAGTTTAAATATGCTGACTGTTTAACCTGTACTAGGCAGGGCACTAAATAATTCATTTACTTTAGCTAATTTAATCCTCATAATAGTATGATAGTCAGATGAAACTAACACCACAATAATTTGCCCGAATTTATATGATTTGCCTTATTTATTTAGTCCATGAAAATGATAGAAATAAAAATGTTCTCTTGAGTCATAATTTATTATTCAAGAAATTAATAACACTTATTTTAAGATGCAACTTTTAAGCATGGAGGTCATTGCCAGGCATTCTTTTTTGTTCATCCACCACTCACCCACCCACTCATCCATCCATCCATCCATCCATCCATCCATCCAAACATACATCCTTTCAAGAAACATCAAATTTCTGAGTTGAATACACTTGAGCTTTATTAAACATATTTTCACAAAGTGAAAGTCAGGAAGTTCAACTTAAGTTATTCAAGATGTGGACAGAAATATTGTGGATAATACTATAAACATTCTATCTAGTGAGTATGTGATGTTTCAAAAGTTTTGCATTAGGTAGTTTTGGATTTTGCACTAGGGAATAGTTACAACATTTTATATCTTACTATGGATTTGTGTTGCTTATCCACATCTCTGTTGAGATACTTGAGAATTCAGTGCTTCAGAAATGAATGGAATAGTATGCTGTACCTAAACATCTACAATAAGTACTTGTGGATAGATGGATGAATAAATGACAACTGAGATGAACTTGTTAAACTTTAGCAACTGGCACTGATTGCGCCAAACTGTTTACTTAAGAGCTTTCACTCTGAGGTTGACCATACCCTGTTCAATGCAATGCAAGTTCAAATCTTGGCCCTGCCTTTACTAATTGTGCCACCATGAGTAAGTCACCTAACAGCTCCAGCCCCATCCTTTATCCTCCTCTGGATAATGGAGAATTGTAGAAAGTTGTCCACCTCATAGACTTGTAATGAAATGTAAACAAAATTAGAGGGCGAGGGATGTGGAACCATGTCTAGTATCTGGCAAGTCTGGGACTTACTAGTTTCTACTGGGGTCCATTCTCTTTTTCCAATTTTCTCTTGTATATTAATTTAATAATGAAAAATTACATTTTTAGATGTACTTTGAGTGTACTTGAGCACACTCTCAGTTTACCAGCTATCTCTAGCACTTTGACATCAGCTACATTTTATGCTAACACTAGGGTCATTTTTTTTTTCTTTTCATACATCTGACATCAGCAACCTGCCTGTGGATGTGTGAGCCGCCCCGTGCCAATGCAGCATGAACACCCACAGGCCCACATGAATCCCTCATGTTGCGCCTCACATGAGGGAGGCATGTGAGCATTTCTGACCTCTTCTCATCAGATCAGATACCTCTAGACAAGAAACCAAGACACTAGCCAGAGGATTAGCACGATGACACATTGACCCAGGCTCATAATGAGAATGTCTTATTCACATTCTAAATGGAATAATTCCACTGTAATCTTTAGTCCTCTTCCCTCCCCCACCATAGTGGAGATTATAGAGAAGTAAAAGCTTCTTTTTTCCCCCTCCAGAGGTAATGGAAGAACTAATCTTTCCCTCATTGAGTAGTGACTCTCAGCTGCACTTTACAACCACAGGGGAGCCTTAAGGAACATTGATGCTTGGGCCCTTGAAATTAGAATCTGTGGCTAACAGATCCCAAGACATTGTTTTTTCGTTTCACTTGTTTATTTTTGTTTTTTATTGTCCAGGTGATTCTGAGTTTCAGCTTGGACTGGGCACCACTGACACTGCTTTGGTATTTGTCTAGTATAGCTCCAAACCTAAACCTAATTGGACCTTGTGCAAAAAGGGTTAGTCACATCAATATGTAAAATGGAACAGCTCAGGACAAAGTATAAAGAAAGAAGTATATTCTAGGCTAATTGCAAGTGAGTCTGTTTTGGATTAAAGAAAAATTATGTAAAGCAACAGAATTGCGGTGTAGTGAGTTAGCAACCATGATTGCTGGAACATCAGCCTTTGATGGAGCATGGCCATGGTGTGTGTGCTAAATGTACTAAGGGTTTTATAGGTAAATATGGCCATAGATATATCATATATATGTAATCTTTTCCCTATGAGGGAAAGATTAGTTCTCCCACTCCCTCTGGAGGGGGAAGAAAGAAGCTTTTACTTCTCTATGATCTCCACTATGGTGGGGAAAGGGAGAGGACTAAAGATTACAGTGGAATTATTCCATTTAGAATGTGAACAAGACATTCTCATTATGAGCCTCAGTAAAAGTCTCATTGCACTAATCCTCTGGTTAGTGTCTTGTTTTTTGTCTAGAGGCATCTGATCTGATGAGAAGAGGTTGTACATACATACATACATACATACATATATATATATATACATACATACACACACACATCTC